GGCTGCAACCGTATGAACCAGTCGGTTGTTTTAACGATAAAAACAATTCCCGCGCTCTACCAACATTCATCAAAAACTACCCTGTCAGCGAGACAGATCTGGCCAATTCACTGGCATCCATAATTTACGCCTGTGCTTCTGAAGCGTTTAAGAATGGCTTCCGGTATTTTGGGGTCGAATATCGCTACGAATGCTGGAGTGGAGTGAACGGTGGCTTGACTTACAACATACATGGGCGATCCAACAATTGCTTACGGAATTATAGCGTGGGAGCTACATGGACCATATTTGTTTACCGCTTTGTTGAAGGTTAGTTACCAGTTGATCACTTCACAGGGAATTTAGCTCTCTGACATTTACATGGCTGAGAGTCTGAGAACTCGTGTCACGATGGATTCGTAAGAGCATGCCGTATAATGGTTCCCATGCTTCTGCGCATGAAGGTTTTAAAAAACATTAGTTTCGTAGGTAAAGAAATGTTTCTGCTTTGTCAAATGAACCAAGATTTTTCACGGTTCCAAATTATTGTCGACTTTTACCCAGATATTTAGTTTCTTTTTGCCATTTGAGATTAGCTTGTTTCATTCTTTTACCTTCATGGCCTAGAACTTCCTTTGTTTAAGTTATTTCAGGTTTGTTTGGTCTTTTGAATCAGTGGTTGGCGAGTGTTGTTGATCGATCTGGCAAATATAATTCCAATCCATGGGATAACAATTTTCTTGCGAGCTGTTTTAAAACGAATGTAAATCGTTTGTTTGCTAACTAATATCATATATGTAGGTTTGGATTAGTCCATTGGATTGGAATATTGAATAAAAACTCTATACCTTTTGTCGTGAACAGTTAAGTCCGGTTTTGTACCAACAAGAACGCCATCTTAAATTGCCGTTTTAGAGCATACGTCGATCACTTTTTTAACAATTCCGTAAAAAAAATCAGCAGCTTATATACACTTTTCAAGCTTTTATGTCATTAATTGATTGCTTCTTCTAATAACCAGTGAATGGCAGTTGGAGCCTGTGGTCTTCCTGGCAGCCATGCAGCGTGACATGTGGAGGGGGGCACAGGACACGAGCTCGCACATGTTATAATCCAGCGCCAAAACGGAACGGAAAGGATTGCCCTGGGACAAATATCTCTACAGAGAGATGCAATTTTCACAAATGTAAAGGTAGATGCCTTTGTTTGAAGATTTTTCTCTAAATTGATTCTGGCTTACTTTCACGCTCTAGTATGTTCCTTGCTTTTCATTTCGAAGCTGCGTCACTTTTTTTTTTATTTTCGGGATGTTTTATGATTTGTACCAATGTGACTGTGACGTCTAATTATCTGGGTGCAAAATAATTTAAAAAAAGCAGCAGCAAAGGGGTAAACGAGCGACCTTTAGCAGTTAATGCCGCAAGACAAATGGGACGGTGGAGACCTAGATCATCTCGTGAAATGCACAGCACGAATCACTAGCTATCTAGGTTACTAATTCATAGCTTGAATTTTTTACTTAACGGTCTTTTCTACACAGATACAATGGTACTGCATCCGTATGAACCAGTCGGTTGTTTCAAAGACGATTATCCACGCGCTCTACCAGTATTAGTCAGAAAGTACTCTGTCAACGAGACAGATTTGGCCAATTCATTCGCCGAGATAATTCAAGCGTGTGCTACTAATGTGTATGAGAATGGCTTCCGGTATTTTGGCGTCGAATATCGCCACGAGTGCTGGAGTGGGGTGAACGGTGACAAGACATATAACAGACATGGGCGATCCGACAATTGTTTATGGAATTATAGCGTGGGAGATAGATGGACCATATTTGTTTACCGCTTTGTTGAAGGTTAGTTACCAGTTGATCACTTTATAGGAAATTTAGCTTCATGACAAGTCTGAGAGTCTGGGAACTTGTGTCATAAATTCGTAAGGGCATGTCGTATAATGATGAAAGATTCTTCATGATTAGTGTTGGATTTTAACCAGATATTTAATTTTTTTGCCCTCTGAGATCAGCTTTTTTGTAATTTCTTTTACCGGTATGGCCAAGAACTTTCTTTGTTTAAGCTATTTCACGTTTCTTACAAATGCTGCAAGGCGAGAGTCACGTTTCGCGAAATAAAACTCGGTCGTTATGTAATAGTAGATGTCGGCCGTAGACGTCACGTTTTCTCTGAACGTTCGCATAAAGATTTATACAAATAACTGACTCCTCGCATCGTGAGCTTTGGCCATCTGTGTGAACACCGAATTCTATTTGTACAAAAATTCTATCTGAAAACGCCGCTTAGGAGCGTAAGCCGATCACTTTTTAACAATTCCAAAATTCAGCAGTTTGGCACTTCATGTCACGGATTTTGTTTCTTGCAATCATCAGTGAACGGCAGTTGGAGCCAGTGGTCGTCATGGAAACCATGCAGTGTAACGTGTGGAGGGGGACACAGGACACGTGCTCGCACATGCTCTAATCCAGTGCCAAAATGGAACGGAAAGGATTGCCCAGGGACAAATATCTCCACAGAGAGATGCAATTTGCACAAATGTTAAGGTAGATGACTTCATTTGTAAGATTTTCCTTAAAATGATTCCGGTTCATTTCGATGCTTAGTATGTTCCTTGCTTTTGATTTCGCAGCTGAGTTATTATGTGACTTTTAAGGTGAATCTTAGTCTTAAGGATACACTCGAACCTCTTTTGTAACAACACCAAAGGGCCAGAGCTGAATATTAAGGTCCGTATTATATGGAGACGTCATTTCCACCTTAAAATATCATTTAGCATGCGTGTCGGAATGTTGATACTAAGCTATAGCGTTTGTCAAAGTTTTTGTAAATTAAGGTATATCAACATTCTTGTTGCGAGCTTCCTAGGCAATTTACAAGCGACGTTCTAAAATAATATAAATGATAACAGCAAGTTTAAAATAGTGTGGTTCACCTTTAAGTAGACATTTCATAAAATATTCGTGTAAAATAAATTCATTTTCAGCATGGTGTTGTCGTATTTCGTTCTTTCAGTGTACTCAGACTCTACAGGAGGTAATCTCCTTCACAACAATGAGACTTATCATGGTCAGAGCACTGGGGAATTCTCCTTGCCACTGGTAGCGAAGATTGTGGGCAGCTCGCTTTTGGCTCTGCTATGTTTAAGTGGAGTATTATGGTTTGCTTTTAGATATCGTAAAAAAAATCGGTGAGTATAAAGAATACTCTTGGTCGGCGTCATACGTGTGGTTCATTTAACAAAAAATAGGAACGTGCAGGGCAACTTGCAGGTCACTTGTGTGACGTAAAAAACTTGTTGCAATACAATAAACAATACAAGGTTGTTGTCTAGACCACAAGAAGTAATATCAAAGATTTGACTGAAAACAATCTTACGGAGGCCACTTGTTCTGAGGTATAAAGTTGTTGTAACACTACTTGAAGCAGTATAAGGTTCGGGTCTAAACTACAATAAATATGAATCTACAAAAAAGCAAACTGAATACTTTCTCACTCTCGAGGCGCATAGCCAAAAAAATTTCAAGAAAACATTACAAAGAAAAGTTATATCACCTTAAATCGATTGCTTTATGATTTTAAGGTGGCTCCATGTAGTTGTACCTGTACGACCGCACTCGCGCTTAGGGCGAAAACTTTAGTAATCTACGCAAGCTCGAAGGAAAACCTACTTTTATGGCTTCAACGTGTCTACAAAATTCTGAGAAAATTTCCACACTGGTGTAATGTAAGACATGAATTCGCAAACATCTACAAATTAAAACCACCAGTACAGACTCTACTTTCATCGTGTTTAGCGGCCGGCTTCTTCGTTCTGTTAAGGATTTCACAGAAAGAAATATAGGAAAATCACAAATAAAGCTACATAAACTAGCGCGTGTTACGCAATAAATGCTGAAAGCTTGGGCACTTGATCGATTCTTAAGTACATGTCTTCAGTTCCAATTCAGAACAGTTCCAGGATCCGTGGGAAGTCCTTTTTGATGACATTACCTTGCACAGGATTATCGGAGAAGGAGCGTTTGGGAAAGTATACAGTGGCAGGCTTTTGAAACAAACTATGGAGGCTGGAACACGGATGAAGTCTCCCCAGCGCAAGACGGACAAGGAACAGCAGCAAATGAAGATGGACCTCACCGTTGCTGTGAAAATGTTACAAAGTATGATTTGGTTATTTCAGCTTATTACAACCTGTAATACAACTGTATACAGCTTCGATTTTCACTTCCAAAGAAGTTACTGACATATTTGCATACAAGTGTGCCTTCACACTGTATGTCTATTATATTAGAGCAAAACTAGCAGTATCTAAACATCTTGCAGTCTATACAAGTACCACGTCGTTCTGAATTTATGAGCTCAATTACCGGTTTAATAATCTTCTGAGCGACATGTTTCCGCAAGACCTTATAAGCTGGAAAAAAGGGCTGGAAAATCTGGCGGGAGAGGCATTGGTGCATGTTTGATTTTTCCTTCATTAGAGCATAGTGGATGAGGTTATTCTAAGAGCCATTCAAAGTCTTTTTAAAAATACACAAAACGAAATGTCACAGATAGTGATACATTTAGAAATAGTCGTAAATTTCTGATCTTGTTTAATATCCTTTTCGAAAACTTATCGTGGCAAGCGCGTTTTGTTTTTGCTACACCAGATGGTGCCACAGAAGAACAAATGCAAGAATTCCTAGAGGAAATACTACTCATGAAACAAATCGGGTATCACCTGAACATATTGAATTTATTGGCCTGCTGCACTATGGCAAATCCCATGTTCCTTGTAGTGGAGTTTGCAATGAACGGGGATTTACTTCAATATCTCAGGAAAAGAAGAGAGCAGGTACAATAAGATAACTGGTTTTAAACAAACTAGTCTTGAACTCAGTACTGTCCTAATTCAATATGATCTATAAGTTCAGAAAATATGAAAATACGAGCCAATTAGAAATATATGGCTCCGAATTGAACGGGTGCAGAAAAGTAATTCCAATCCCTCGATCAGACTCTCTTTTGCTTCTTTAAGTTGCTTTGGGCTGCCTTCTTTACATGGTAGTTTAATCATAGTTTTTTTTTATGGAAAACGTGAGAGGGTTTCATAAGCAATCTATTTCCTTGAGCTCGCTTTATACCAAAACGTTATAAAGTAGAATTTTAAGAAAATTTTACGCCCCTACAACATAGAAAAGTTGCCCTAGCTTTACTAATTTGCCAGTATCCACGCCATTAACACTTTAAGGTGGAGAGAGAAATTGTGAGAGTTAATACTCTTGTCGAACAGAACGCCTGAAAATCCATAGACCGTTTTACCACGTTAATTTACTTTTTAGATCAAACAAGCTTTTAAAGCGACGGGAGAAGCAGCGCCCCACCACTCAAGATATCAAAACACAGGAGTGTTAAATGAGGGGAACTTATGTGAAGTAATTATTCTCGTTTTATTCGATTTGCACTTTTTGTTCCATGCAAAAAGAGAGACTGAGGTAACCAGTGGTGGTCTGAAGTTCAAATCCTCCGGTTCCTCCCACTAAATCGATTTGTGCTCGGTAATGGCGAATTCAACTCCTTCTCCAAGTTATTCTGAGTGAAAGGCATAACGGTCTAATAACCTCTTACTAAACGAGCACGGATGACGTACTTGCGAATATTGGCCCAAGGTCGTGGTAGTACGGACCGAGAGCAACGAATTCTGTAAATAAATGAACGAGGACCAATATTCCCCAGCAGGGCTCGAGCAAACTAGGTTATTAAGTAGTTTTGCTATGTGGCACTGCATGTTCTGGCTTTCGAAAGTAACAATTACACGGCTTATGAACGTTTCCATGGAAACGCTCCGTATTTTTTTGCGTACGCTTATTTAGAAGCAGTTGTTGGAATTTATCTTCTCTAAGGTTTTTCAGGATGCATGCCACTCAAAGTTTGCAGGAGGATTACAGCTGAAAGCTGTGGAGGCTAATTAATCGTTAAATAGGTGTTATTACTTTTTAGTGCACCATGGACAAAAGCAGAGCTGGATGTGCAACATTAGCCCTCAAGACTGATACTGATAACTTACATGACGATGATACTCTCACACCTGCTGACCTAATGACGTTCGCATGGCAGATAGCGAAGGGAATGGTACGAACTGGATTACGTGCATGCATAATGTCAAGATTTGCCAAATTGTTTGCAATTTGTAATATTAAGATTCATCCTTTGATGGCCCTTTTCGCAGATTGTTGTTTTCCTTTTCACTAACAACTTCTGTTGCAGTGATCGAAACCTCATTCTTATTTTGCATAGGAGTTTCTGTCACGGAAGGGATTCGTCCACCGTGACCTTGCGGCGAGAAATGTTCTTGTTTGTGAAGGCAAGTTAGTCAAGGTAGCCGACTTTGGATTGTCGCGTAACGTGTACGCCGAGAAAGGGTACCATGCTACAAAGAACAGAAAACTGCCAGTCAAATGGATGTCACCGGAAGCCATTCATGATCAAGTGTTCAACGCAGAGAACGACGTGTAAGTTTAAAAATATCACGCGAGGGAAGTCCCAAAGTTCTAAGTCAGCGGTTTTAATCAAATCCAGTAGGCCATTTTCGAGTTACCTTGTGCTTCTGTTTAAAAACAAGTCCTCGCTTAAAGCCTTTCATGTGAAAATGAGTTTAATTTACTTGAAAATGAACCTGTATTTTCAGGCAAATTTTCCAAGTTAGGCAAGTTGCTTAGCTTGATCGACAGTTCCGTTTTTTCCTTTCCTCTTCGAGGTACGTATTTACCAATGTCTGTGTTATTTATCTCAACAGGTGGGCGTATGGTATTCTACTTTGGGAGATTTTCACAATCGGTGCGTACATCATGTCCACTTTTGACTAGCTATTTCGGTGGATTGACAAAAATTTTGCATCCTAGCTGCTCCTAGATCATGGCTAGGATCAGTTCACGACGTTTGTCACTCCATGTTTCACACGACTGCAGTTCAGGGGGTTATAATTAATTATATGACTTCATTTGTAGATCACTTGTCAGGCATATTCAATAATCTAGCCTGCATGACCCACTATATGGAATTAATATCGATGCATGATTATAGCAATCAGTGTACTTAAATTCATCCAGTTATGACTAGTAGGCAAGTTTTCAAGTTTGCCACTCAAACTGACGAGATCATTGTAATCCCAGCTTACTAGAGGCTAACCAGTTGGATATTTACAAACATGACGGAGGGATTAAAATCGGTGCAACCGATCACAAATGTAGCTGGTGGAAAGGGGAGTGGACTTGAGTTCGGGAACGCAAGGTTATAACACTACCAGCGCCCTAAACAACGTGCTCTCGTGCCCCCAAAAGTGATCTTTTTCTGTAATATCCTTCTTTCTTTGTATCTAGGTGGGACGCCATATCCTACCATAAGTAATCATGAACTTTTTGGGGCTCTTAAAGCTGGATACCGAATGGAAAAACCACAGATGTGCTCGGATGAGATGTAAGCTTCCTTTTTACCTCACCCCGTTCTTTTCATGAAATGATCACTGACACATGCCACTCATTTTCCCAGGTATGAATTGATGCGACAGTGTTGGAGAGAAAAACCCGCGGAAAGGCCTTCATTCACTGTAATCCGGAAACAACTTGAACGGATGATGTTACACCATTGTCCTTATTTGGATATGGCTGACGCAAACTATAGTTACGCACCCTGTTATGACGTTGACGGTGACAAAGAAACGGAGTTAGAAAGCACTTTGTAACTACATGTTGATTTCCATGTAAGATATTTCGACATGATGACGAGTTGACACTGTGCGTTTCTCAGCCGTACAAGTAGATTCATACCCCCACCATCATACAAAAGGGGATCTGCCCATCGGGCTTTCGTTTTGGCATATCTAGATTATTTTGAATTTAGTAGATAACCATCAATTTACTCTGCAAGGTGACATTTTTTTACGTTGGCTATGATCACATGACGCCAAAACATACGCTATCTTGGATCCACCGACCTCCACTACACGACCACTTTCACAGAAAGTCAAGAAAGTTATAACAGAATGTAAAAAACACGTCTGTTTTTCAGTATTTTTAAATCTTCATTTCTGATCTTTTCTCCAGCTTCTCAGCGGTCAGGAATCCTAAATTCTTGAAACTGATTGGCTAATCGCATGTGCTCCAGCGGTCCAGATTTTCCCATCTGGACCCCGAGTACGGACCGCTCTGAAATTTCTAACTTTGGCAACTTTTCAAGCTGACCGGGTGAGAACAGACTCTCGCCTTCATAACAGTTGCAGAGGCCCTTTCCCGAAATTTAACCATTTGGCAGGAAATCCATTTTGGCCAGCCAGCGTTTTTCTGGCGGGAAATAGCATGAAAATCACATTAACCATCGTTATGGAAAACAGAAATTTCCGTTTTAAGAAAAGAAAACTTACTTCTATTGTTATATCAACAAACGATAGTGCAGTTGATATTACGTTTTCAAGACAGGGTTTAAGTGAAGCAGAACATGAAAGAGAACAGCCGGCGAGCAAGAATTAACAGGCAAAGAAGTAGCCAAGAAGATCGTAAAAGAGAGAGAGACAGGGCTAGAGAAAGGAGGCGAAAGAGTACTGAACAATGTCGTGGAGTAATTAAGCGAGTCAGGGCTATGAAAAGGAGATTTTTTGTTGTTCTTTAATTCATCGGTTTGGTAAAATACTTACTTTTTAATCATTTAGGCTCCCAATATATCAAAGGGCATCGGTTTGGTGAAATACTTATTGATGAAATTCTTTCAAGGTTATTGTGTCAAGTAGATGGTTAGTAATTTATGGGAGCTCTGCTTTTAGTCTTGACTAAATCTGTATATTGATCTTGCACTTGATTAGAATCGGAACCCAAAACATTTTCTTCCAATAGATTTGTAATTACTTATAAATCATATTACTTTCGCAATAAAATATAATACAATAATACAATACAAGTTTATTTAACAAATAAAGAAGCCTAAGCTGTGTATAACCCTGTGTTAAAACACGACGGGCATTTGAGAACACGAGGAAAATGTAGAAAACACGAACCACAGGAAAGTGTTTTCTACATTTTCTCGAGTGTTCTCAAATGTTCGGAGTGTTTTATTACAGTGTAATACACGGCTTACGCTTCTTCATTTGCTATATGATGTAGCGGTAATGTGGCGAAAAACAATAAAACACGCTTTTTCTATGTTTTATACTCTGATAAAACATGGTTTTTGACCAATCAGAGCGCGCACAGGGTCCTATCTATATTATAATGTGTAGCTCGCTTAGCTATCCAGGTGTGACATTACACAATAGAATGTCGACACATCAACTAATTCACAGGTATTCCACATAAATGAAAAATAAATTTAAAGGTAAATATTATAACATATGAATAAAAAAAAATTAAAATTTGAAAAAGTTTGAAATTCAGCGGTAAAAGTTATAGACAATTTTTATCGTAATAAACGGGTGCCCAATTTTATTGACATATCTGAATATTTTAAGTGATCACCAGCCATTGTGAATCGTGATCGCATGATGAGTAATTAGCTCTTTTTCCTTTTTTTTCTAAACCTAATACTTTAATAGCTCTTACTTGGGACCGATTCTCATGGGACCGGAGAAAAAAATTTCCCTCAAAAAAGATCACATTACGTTTCCCCTGAGGA